TCTCCTCCTTACCAGGGTCTTATTTCAGGCAAAGGAAGACAAAGGAAAAGGGAACAAAAATTAGAATTTGCAGACAGAGGTGGGGTGGGGGAAGCGTGGTGCTCAGAGTTGTTAAAGGAGAACTTTTGCTCTGCTCAGTCTCCTGTGCTGCAAAACCAGGTATCCCCTCTGAGAGTAGGTTTAAGATTTTAATAGCCCTTTTACTGATGTGATGCTGGAGAGGTTTTCCTGTTGTCCTTTAAGAATGGGACTATTATGAGACTCAAAATAGTCATGAGCTGTAAATTAAATTCAGACGTACGTTACCTCTCTTGATGACCTACCCACTCCGTGATTCTTGTTTTTCTTTTCCCTCTAAGAAGACATCAGCTATCTCCACCTCCCCCGCTCTCCCATCTGTCCTTTTCCTCCTGGCTGAAAGTGAGTTTTTTTTACTTTCTATTTATTTTAATTAATGGATTTTAAACACAAATGGTGAAACAGTTGATGTTCAGCTTCAACAGGCAGTGAAAGGGAAAGTTGGCTCCCTCACTTGTCGGGGAATGTCTCTGTGTTCACTGAGGGCACTTGCCTGGACAGCCTCGGAAAGGGCAGGCTGGAGACCCACGGTTCTGTGTGCTTACGAGGGCCGGAGCCCTGAATCCAGGGTCCAGGGAAGTGAAAGTGGGAAGAGCTCTGAAATGAAGCTTCTTTCCCCGAAGGTGCCCTGCCTGAGGGGCTACTACATCGAGAATTCACCTTCCTGAGCATCTGACTTCCTGAAGTAGGTCTGTTATATGTGCTGCCTTAGAGAGGTCCTTGTGGGGTGCATCGGAGCGATGGAGCCTTCCCCGACTCTGGTGATCTTAACTTGGGGAGCTAGGGTCCAGCAGTCAGTGGCCACCGAAATCACCCCAGCCCCTGGCTTCTGAGTTCATTGCTCAGTCCCAAGAAGAGTAAGGAAGTGGAGACTCGGGGGGGGGGGGGGGGTGATTTTTAAAGGAAAAAGTGAGAAAGGGGGAGGGGCTTCATGGAGAGACACAGTCTGTGCTGCCCGCCCAGTGGCCTTGAATGGGTCTTTTGGGAGGTAGGTACTGTTAAGACTGGCCATGTTTTTGGCTGAACTGGTGAGGAGTCCACAGGCCCTGTGCTTGCTCCCTCAGCCCAACCAGCACTGGTCACACCGTGCTGCATGACCAGCTCAGGGTCTACTGTGGGCTGCCCTTCGTATATATAGGGAGTTAACTCCTTCCTCCAGGCCTTCTGGAAACCTTGTCCAAGAGCTGCTCTCTTGTGTCATCTTAGAGGCAGTGTGAGAAGTCACACCACCACCTCACAGTGGAACCTCTGTGGGGGGGAGGGGCGCGTCTTCGTGCTTTACCGCTTTCCTGCCAGCTTAAAAATGTATCAATTAAAAAAATGGTCATTATATGAAAATAAGTAATGTGGTTTCATACTCGACCTGCTACGGATCATCACAAAAGACACTTTTGAAAGCAGAGGACACTCAGCGGTACGCAAAGTGATAGTTTTGATTTCTCTTTTGTGTCTCTGTTGAACTTTTGGTTTAAGTGGATTTTATTGACTTTTCCTGAATATACATCATGCAGTACAATGAGCAGGGGTTCTTGTTTGAAATGTTAGCTCTTATTCTGCGTTTCTGCAGTGTGTTTTTCAAAAGAAAACTTTTTCCTTTTGAGCACAAATTGCCATGCAATCAGAGTGCCATGTATTGCTGTTGGGAGAAGCAAAACCTGCCTCAAGTTAACTACACATTTCGGGAGGACATGCTGAGGTGATTGACAGCCAGCATCACAGCCCCTTGGATGCCTCTAAGCCAGCAGCCTTTAGTTTAATTAGATAATTAGCCCTGGTCAGCGTGTAATGAATGCACAGGCAATTAGTGGTGAATTTGGACTGCTAAAGCCTATTTTTCCTCTTTTGTGTTCCTTTGCTGTCATTAACAACTTCACTGAACAATTTATATCTTCACACGAACAATCAACTTTATTCTCATCAAATTCCTTGCAAGCGATAAAGCAATGAGACCTGATGTCGGTTACACAACATTAAGTGATTATGTTAAGTAATGCCATTTATTTGCCTGGCCATCCCGCGGCTGTGCTGTGTCAAACAAATGGGGCTTTGAGAAGCAGTGCACATGCCATGCTTGTGAGGATTGCTTTGTCAAACCAAGCAACTCATGAGAGATGCACCTCCATTTGTAGTCCTTTCTCAGTAGCTTTCAGTAGACCCAAATAAAAGTTCCACAGGTTTTCCAGAGGCCAGGCCTTCAAAACAGAGCCTTTCTTTGTTTCTCTGATCTTTCTGAAATGATTGACAGGTCTCAGGGAGTGCAAGCTCTGTGGGCTGGCCATCTTAGCGGCAGGGACATCTTTTAGACTCATGGGTGACAAAAAACACTAGTTTTTCTCAAGTGTTTCATCTCTAAGTCTTTCCATCCGTTCTAGTCCTTCAAAAGGGAGTGGTGGGAGGGAAGGGAAGTGGGGGCAGGATAAAGGTGGAGGCTGTCTGTGTGCGAGGCAGAGGGAATTACCAGAGAAGTCCATGCATGTTCCTAGTGCTGTTGCTTGGAAGGCATCCAGTTGCTTAGTTCTAGGTGTATGAACTGAAACACTAAATTATATTTCAACCAGAAATGAGTTTGGACAAGTGGACATTTTAAGTTTCTATAGGCAGTTTCTTCCCGTCAAAGTTCATAAAGTCCTCAGTACACCATGTTCTTATACAAACTCTGCTTTACTTATTTTTAAAAATATTTTATTTTTATTTTTGTGTATGTATGAGTATTGCCTCTATGTATGTAAGTGCACCCATGTTGTGCAGTGCCCACAGAGGACAGAAGAGGGCGTTGGATTCCCTGGAACCAGCATTAAAGACAGTTGTTAGCCATCTGTGGGTGCTGGGAATCAAACCCGGCTTCTCTGCAAGAGCAGCCAGTGCTCTTAACCGCTGAGCCACATCTCCAACCCCAGCTTATTTTTAATATAATAGGATTTAGAAGATTAAACCAAGTGTTAGAAAATTAGCCAATTAATAGCCACTTAGGAATTTGTTAAGAAATGTAAGGCTTACTACTTAAGCAGAATTAAAAATGCACAGAATTTTCTTCTTACTCGAATGCGAACATTGACTTATCTCTTACCTTGAGACTTACCATCTGGCTGGTCCTGGAATTACTTCTCCCTCTCAGCAGTGCAGTACGTAGCAATTAGAATTTCAGAGATACCAATTTTAATCACAACTTCCATTTCCAAAATAGAAAAACTTACTCGAACTATATAAAGCCTCTTCCTTTTATTCAATTGACTGTCTAGAAGAGTAATTTAAGTAATTCCAAATCAAGCTCATGGTATCCCAGAGATGTTAGGAAAATAGAGAAAGTAGTGCGAATCCTTCTAAATCCTAGTCACATTTGCTCATAAGATGGACACAGAAAGTTCACTGGCATCCAGATATCAACTGTTAGCGCAGTAGGCTTTCTCTGCTATGACATTTGACATTTGGGTGGCCAGTCCTCTATTGTGGGGTGATGCCCCATGTATTGTAGGGTGTTTAGCAATGTCCCTGGCCTCTGTTTGCTAGGTAACCACAGCACCACTTCTCCGCACCAGTTGCTTGAAGAATAAACACCTCCATCTGTTGCCACATGTCTCTAGAGAAGTATCCTCTGGTTGGGAATCAGTGCTACAGAGTGAGAACTTGGCATTTTCTTCCTTTAATAGCTGTGTGTGTGTGTGTGTGTGTGTGTGTGTGTGTGTGTGTGTGTGTGACATATGTGTTCTAGTTGGCTTCTCCATTGCTGTGATAAAATAAACTGACCAAAATCAACTTGGGGAGTGTCCTAGTTTGTTCTTCATTGCTGTGACAAAATATCTGACCACTACCAACTTGGGGAGGAAAGGGTTTATTCAGCTTACATCTCCCAGGTCACAGTTCATCAGGGAGCCCAAGGTAGGAACTCAGGGCAGGAGCTGGAAGCAGGAGCTGAAGCACGGGCCATGGAGGAGCGCTGCTTACTGGCTTGCTCCCCTGGCCCCTGCTCAGCTTGCTCTCTTATCCAACACAGGCCCACCTGCCCAGGGGTGGCACCACCCACAGTGGGCTGGGCCTCCCACATCACTCAACAATCAAGAAAATGCCCCACAGACATGGCCACAGGCCAGTGCAATGGAGACTTCCCCAATTGAGGCTCCCTCAACCCAGGTGTGTCAAGTTGACACTAAAGCTATCCAGCACAGGGAGGAAAGGGTTATCTCACCTTCAGCTCACAGTTCATCGTGGAGGTGGAGGACAACCAGAGCAAGAGCTCAGGGCAGGAACTGAAGCACAGACCATGGAGGAACACTGCTAACTGGCTTGCTCCCTCTACCCAGGTTTGTCAAGTTGACAGCTGATACTATCTAGCACAATATATGCAAGTGCATGTATTACATATAATGCATATTATACACATATGCATACATATAGTGCATTCATATATATGTATACACATATTTCTATATAAAATGAAGTGTGTTGAATTTGGATGTCTAGATAACCTTTAGTAAGTCTTCATAGAGATGAATCACTCAGAACCCCAATGAACTCAAATTTGGGATGATTTGGGGGGCTCACTGATAAAATGCTCCTGCACCTGAGTTCTCATTGACTTTCCCAAATGGCCTGCTGCAATGCTGAATTTCTGCACTTAGAAGTCTTCTTTAGAATGCAGACATTCCCAAGGAGTATCCTCTTATACTAGATCTGAAGCTTTAGTTTTTAACAATGTGTACCTACCTTTCTTCTGATGACAAAGTCCTTCCGGCAAAGAACCTGGGACTGCAAGAGCTGCTGGGGTGGGGGACCCCTGGGTCGGGAGCAGAGGAAGAGGTGGCATGACTGACAGGTGACTGCTAGTGTCTTAGTGCACCTTACTCTCAGCGTGAAGTATGTTTGCTCTTTTTTTTTTTTTTTCCAAAAAGTAATGAAACAGCCACAGTATTCTTTAATAGGTGAATGAATAAACAAACCGTGCTCAACCTAGACAGTGGACCATCTTTCAGGACAGAAAAAGATTTGGAGAAAAGTCGCCGCATGGCCCTGTGAGAAGCCAGTCTGAACGACGTAGTCGGTGAGTACAGCTATATGATATTTGGGGGAAACTAAGCTATGGAGATGGAAAAGGCAATGACCACCGAGGCCGCGAGGACAGACAGAACATCCAGAGGACAGACGAGTCTTCGTGCTGCAGGGCTTATTACAGTCAGGTCCTGCCATGTAGATCTGTCCAAATCTGTAACTGTACACAGGTGTGAATCCTGGTGTAAACTGCGGATTCTGGTTAACACTGTAGGCAGGCTCATCAGCTGACATATGCACTGTCAGGACTGTGCATGAGTGGGAGCAGAAGACTTGGGAATCTGGTTTAAAAAGCAAAAGTGGTTAACACACACACACACACATATTGTGCACCTATATGTACATCGTGGTGTGTGTGTGGAGGTAAGAGGACAACATATAAGAGTTGGTTCTTTTCTTCCACCGTGTGGGACCCAGGGATCAAGTGCAGGTTGCCAGGCTTGGTGGCAAGTGCCTTTACCCACTGAGCCATATTGCCAACCCTAAAGTGTTGGTTTGTTTTTAAATAATTAAACCATGTACTTGACATAGTAGTTGTTTTTTAGTGAACATTCTTTGTTCCTCTATGTTGGTTATCCAAAATTAAATTTGCAAATATTACTGTAAGTGAAGTCTAAACATCTTTTTAAAAAAATATTTCATTTTATTATTTTTATTTTATGTGTATGCATGTATTGCCTGCGTGTAGGTAAGTGCACCCGTGTTGTGTGGTGCCCTCAGAGAACAGAAGAGGCTGTTGGATCCCCTGGAACTGGAGTTATGGACAGTTGTTAGCTGCCATGTGGGTGCTAGGATTCGAACCCTGGTCTTCTGCAAGAACAACCAGTGTTCTTAACTGCTGAGTCATCTCTCCAGCCCCCAAATCTAAACATCTTAAGAAGCATTGGTTAATTGGATCTCCTGGCATTAAACCTGTCATCCATGCTGACAAGGGTGACCCGAGAGGTGTGGCAGCTGCTCTCTCTGTCTGATGTTGGAAATACTCTCTTACTCCTTACAGCGTGGCGTGGTCCTGTGTGGAATACCTGTAACCTCTTGAAAGTAGTTCAGGGGCTGAAGAAATGGCTCAGCTGGTAAGAACACTTGCTCTTCTTCCAGAGGACCCCAGTCTGATTCCCAACACTCACATGGCTTCTAACAACTGTCTATAACTCCAGTTCCAGGGGATCTAACAATCCCTTCTGGCTTTGGATGACATGGGTGTACTTACATGCAGGCAAAACATTCATACACATAAAAATAGTTTAAAAAGTACTTGTTCAGGCTGATATTCAATTGAAACAGCAACAAACCCTACTCCCTCTAAGACCTTCAATGATGACTGAAGTAATGTTCTGTTAGAACTTTTTAAAAAATATTTTATTATTTTTATGTGTATTCTGAGTGTACTATATGTGAGTGCACCTGTGTCGTGCAATGCCGCGGAGGTCAGAAGAGGGCTTTGGATTCCCCTGGAACTGGAGTTAAGGATGGTTTGTTGCCACCACGTGGGTTCTGGGAATCGAGTCCAGGTCCTCTGCAAGAGCAGTCAGTGCTCTTAACCGCTGAGCCATCTCTCCAGCCCCTGAAGGAACTTTCTAAAGCAGGAGAGACATGGAGATGTGATGGCAGGCATGTGGAAGTTGGGAACTTAAGGGGCTTCGCCTGTTGTGGCTCCATGAAGGTGAACCTGGGTCCTCTGCAAGAGCAGTCAGTGCTCTTAACCACTGAGCCATCTCTCCAGCCCCCATTTCCTCATTTCTTTCTAAACTGAGAGTCCCAAAGTATACCACAAACCCCAGCTGGATGTAGACATGAGGCATCTCCTTTGCAAGGCCCAGTACAGAGTCCAACTCTGGTCTCTGAGACAGTTGGCCTGTGTGAACCCACCTTTCCCCTTACCTGAATTCTGAAGTTCTGTGTTTGGGTGCTCAGAGTCAACATCTTCACCCCCTGCTTCCCCCATGCAGAACTTAACTTTGCTAATCTTTAAATGCAGTGCCTGCCTCTGTCTCCATCTCTCAGCTGGCTAATAGCGCAGATGTGTGGGACCTGTGCAAGCTGCTCCCCTGTCTCCATTATGCCCAGAGACTTAGTCAGCAGTAATGGCATTGGAAGGTTCTTCTCTTCCAGTCCCATCTCATGTTCTGTTCAAGAGGGCTACTAGCACGGAACTTTTCAAACAGTTGGATGACCTCTCAATAATTTTTAATCCCGGAAAGTGAACCAGTTTATTCCAAAATCCACAGGCATTTTCCAGTGAGACATTAAGTGAAGTTTATTCAAAATGTTAAGGTCTTTATTCTGTGGCAAACATTTAGACATTGCCTGCAAACAAGATTTCCTCTTATGTCCTGGAAAAGCAAACCCAAATTTTGTGCTTGGTTCAGATGTCAAGGTGTGATCTAGTTGTAGCTGTGATGCCCCAGCCCAGGTTGACTTTTCTGATATTTCTTCCAGAATACTGAACATCTGATAAAAGAGCAGGTGTGTGTGTGTGTGTGTGTGTGTGTGTGTGTGGAGAGAGAGAGAGAGAGAGAGAGAGAGAGAGAGAGAGTTGGTAAGGAGAGATGACTGTGTGTTCAGATAGTATCCAGTCTTTATTAACCCTCTTGTCCACACTTCCTAGCCAAGCCTCTTCTATTTAATGTATGAAATAACAGCTCAGCTCTCTGGGGTCCTTGGGACTTCCCCAACACCAAGGGTATGGGATGCCTTCTTGTATCTCCAAGCTGGGGAAACCCCACTCCGGGCAGAGGGCCAATTTTAGAGCCAAGAACTCATTAGAGAGATTCAGACACTACCTGCTGCTCCAGCCAACCTCACCAGCTTAGAGAGAGGAAGAACGAGGAAAGACGGGGGAATGGCCATAGGAAAAGATGCTCCTTGTTTGTAGAAATGAGTTTCATGGTAATAGTCTTTTGGAGACTACAATCCTATTTTATCTAAATGACCTAAATGGATGCTTTATGAGTTAGGAGAGAAAAATCAATCTCAGTACTGCCTGGTTGCAATGTCTTTGATAAACACAGGAGCAAAAATTCTCAATAAAATACTGGAAACCAAAAAAATTCTAGAACACATAAAAAAGAACATTCACCATGATCAAGGTACCTTCATTCCAGAGATATGGGAATGGCTCAACACATGCAGCTCCATAACTGTAACATCATATAAATGGACTCAAGGACAGAAGGCTTTCACAAAGTCCAATGTCTATTTCTGATAAAAGACCTAAAGAGACTAGGAATGGGAGGAGGGCATCTCAGCACAGAGAAGGCTGTGTGTGACAGACCTGCAGCCAGTGTTCTGGTAAACAGAAAACCTAAAGCATTCCACTAAAGCCTGGGGCAAGTCAAGGGTGTCCACTTTCTCCACTCTTATTCAAGCTAGTGCTTGAAGTCTTTAGTGAGACCACTGGACAGGAGCAGGAAATAAAAAGGGTAGAGCTAGGAAAGGAAGGTGTCAAAGTGTCCTTACGTGTGGATGATGGGATTCTATATGTAGGAGGCCGTTAAGACTATCAGAGAGCTTTTAGACAAGCTGGAGAGATGGCTCAGGAGTTAAGAGCACTGGCTGCTCTTGCAGAGGACCTTGGTTTGGTTTCCAGCACCCATATGGCAGCTGACAACCATCCTTAACTCCAGTTCCAGGGGATCTAGCACCACTCTTCTGCCTCTAGGTATTGCACAATACCAGTGCACTTACATATTTGCAGCCAATACAATCATACATGTAAAATAAAAATTAAAAGAAAACTTTTGGAGCTGGTAAACACTTTCACTAAAGTGGCAAGATACAAAATTTATCTACAAAAATCAGAAGCTTTCTTATATATCAATAACAAAAGGGCAAAGAAAGCAGGGAAACAATCCCATTCAATTGTAACAAAATAAATAAAACCCTTTGGAATAGGCTTAACCAAGGACATGAAAGACTTCTACAAGGAGAACACTATAACCCCAAAGAAAGATTGAGGGAGACGCTAGAAGATGGAAAGATCTCCCATATTCGTGGGTTAGAGAGGAACTAATATTGTGAAAATAGTTTTACTACCAAAAGCAATCTTCAGATTCAAAGATCCCCTCAAAATTCCAGTGCCTCTAGGCATGCTGGGCATGCCTTTAATCCCAGCACTCAGGAGGCAGAGGCAGACAGAGCTTTGTGAGATTGCAGTCAGCCTGGTTTACATGGGGAGTTCCAGGCCAGCTGGGGCTACAAGGAGACTGTGTCTCAAAACAAACCAGCAAAAACAAAATTCCAATGCCATTCTTCACAGAAATAGAAAAAAATCTTAAAATTCATATGGAATTAAAAAGACCCTGGAGACTCAAGGCAAACCTGAGCGGAAAGCATAATGCTACAGGTGTTACCGTGCTTGATTTCATGTGAGACTATAGAGCCAGGGCAGCACACTCGGCATATCCTCTCCACCTTTGTCAGAACTCCTAAAGGGAGGTGAGGACACAGCCACCCTGTAACTCCCAGGTCTTTTCTGAGACCAGCACATTGGGCACGTTGGCTCTCCCGATTCTGGTTCTTTCTTGTGGGGCTGACTTAGTTTGTGGGTTTCCTTCATGAAACCCAGGAATGGGTATAAAACACCATTGCCATGGGTCAAATGTGTTCCCCAGGATCCATGTGTTGAAACCAATCTTCAGTACAGCAGTGTTAGGGGGATGAGTTAGCTGGGTGTAGTGGTGCATGCCTTAAGTCAAACCTCAGGAGGCAGAGGCAGGCAGATTTCTGTGAGATAGAGGCCAGCCTGGGGTGGTCACTATAGCAAGCTCCAGGCTACATAGTGAGGCCCTGTCTGAAAAAAGAAGCCACCCCTGCCAAAAACAAAACAAAAACCCAAAACAAACCAAAAAAGAGGATGGGCTCATGAAGTCACAGCCGTCACCATGGATTAATGAAGGGTAGCTTTTGAGAGCAAACCTGAGAAGATGAGCACAGTTTCTCTCTTCACCGTTAATCTTGGGTCGGTGCAGCAGTAGGTCCGACAACGCCAGG